GAGTAGATCATTTTAGACTTTGGCTAGAGAAATTGTGAGAGTTTCAGAGGACTTGGTTAGATTGTGACTTTAGAAGCAATTAATCAATTAAGAAGTAGGGGACTCGGAATTAATGACCAAGTCAACTTTGCTTGAAGTCAAGTCTTATGTTGTCCTGGAAAGAGATATTTTAAGAAAACATAATTTGTTTTTGTTATTAATACTTCTTTGACTCAGTGATTGAGCTACACTTGCCTAGCATGCACAAGGCCCCAGCATTGCAAATGCAAACGAAAAGCCCTACAAAATTAAAAGAGGGGAAAAGCACTTTATGTTGAAACCTTCCATGGACATTATCCTTTTCTTTCTCTACTTACTGCCTCACTGCTAGCTAGAGGCTGAGAAATTTTCATTAGAACAGTTCTAGTATCTTAAATTAAGCAAATGCAAAATACAGATTTAGGTGAAAAATAATTTGCATGGTACGGATTCATGACAAATTTACTGTCATGGTTTGGAGGAATCCAAAAGTTATTCCATAAAAAGGGGGGGGAATGCCCTCTGTTCCTTACCCAAGTTCAGAACACTGGAATTATAAGCAAAGGAATCATTTGCTAGAATTTAGAATATCTGCTTTAAAATGGATACATATCATATATTAGTATGTCATATAGAATTGCTGATCACTGCTGAATTACATATTTACCAGTTTTGTCACTGACACAGCTGGACAGCCAAAGGTAGGGAAGAACAGAAATTCTTGCTCCTTTTGAAAGAATAGAAATCCAGAAGGAACAGAGCTTTTCATGTCATCTCTTCATCTGTCTATCAATCTATTTACTTTTTCAGATGGGATCTTACTGTGTTGCCCAGACTGGTCTGAAACTCCTGGGCTCAAGTGATCCTCCTGCCTCAGGCTCCTGAGTAGCAGAGACTACAGGTGCATATTACATCATCGACCTTATTCTTAATTTTTTAATCCCATAAGTTATTCCTGTTCCGAGGAAAGGGGCAGGAGGAGCAATTGTCAAGGAAGGAGGAAGAAAAGGCTGGGAATGTCACTGACAGAAATTTCTCCATGGGGAAGCTTAAGGCCAGTGAGAAAGGAATTTTTCCTCTATTCATTTTATTTTCCAATATGCTATTTTAAAATTGAGATATAAGTCACATACACTAAAATGCATAGATTTTAAATGTACTACTGGATGACTTTTGACAGATGTACTCTTGTAATCAAGATATGGAACATTCTAACACTATTTAATAGATTCATGGTAAAATTTCTTTTAGGTACTGACCTGTTAGTTCATTTAAACTACTATATTAAATTTGTTCTGTTGATGGCTTTGGTTGTCTAATGAGGAATTTAATGAACTATCCCTAAAAAGTTTTCATATGACTAATAGGTGAATAATTATTTCCTTAGATTACATTTTTACTGATTAGGAATTTTTTTAAAAATGAATATTTTTATGTAGATTTTAATTATAATATTTTATACTCCTAAATGCCCAAATTAACTTTAGTGATATCTTCCTATCCTAAAATCTAAGACTATTTCTAATACTATGGAGTGCACAGTAAGTACTAACAAGTAACATTTGCCATTCTTGCCCTATTGGAATACTTTGACTCAAGTTGTGAATAGTATTGTGAAGGTTGGGTGCATATGTTAGGAGTGACCCTGGAGGGTTAAGAAAAGGGGAGAAGACTACAGGTGTAATGTGCTTGGGTGGTCTCTGAGTTGATGACAGGTAGACTGAAACTTGATGATAGGGATATCAAGCTCAGAGCATTGGGGATGGGATGAATTAAAGACACCAGGTGCCAACATATAGGTTGTCTGCAAKGTGGGGCATGGAGGTACTTATGATAAATTAGAAAGCAACTTGGGAGAAGAAATTAGAGAGAAGATGATAAATTTAATCTGGGACCTGCTCAGTTTGTCATGGTGATGAAATATCTAAGGAGACATTTTTACTTAGTAGGAGATAGCAGAGAGAAAACAGGATCAAAGGTTATGTTTGAAACTGAGCATTTTCTTTTTTCTTTATTTTTTTACATGAGCTCTATTATTATTATTATTGTTGCCTTACAATTCTTAATACACCTTTATACCACAATTAATCATATCTCTGTATACGAGATATGTTGATACCGAATTCACATCTTCATACATGTATTTTGTATAATGATGAGGGTCTCCTTCCACCATCCATGCAATTCCCCTTTTCCCTCCTTTTCCTTCCCACCCCTCTTCTCTGTCTAGAGRTAATCTTTTTCCCATGGAAACAGCATTTTAAAATCAGTGAATTCATGTTTGTGGAATGACTCTAACATATTACATTACTCGGTATTTTGCAATTTTAAATTATTTCTTTAAAACTGTTCTTATTGATTTTTCTTCATAAATGTAATGTGTTACATTTAGATATTTATTTTCAAAATATTCTCTAGTATAATCTAATATGGTAATTAACAAATTGGTACTTGGTAAGTACATAAGGAAAACAGTAGGGCATATGGGTTAAGAGAATGTACCCTGCAGTCAGTGCTTTGATTTACCTTGAATCTTGGCTTTCTACTAACTGTGTGATTTGGGGGAGAAATTATCTCTCTTCCTATGTCTCCCTTTATAAACTGTATAAGAGTAAAAGGAGTCAAATACTAGTACAGTCTACCTTAGGGTTTTGTACAGATCAAATAAGCAGTGCTTAGACTTGTAAAATGAGTATAAGGATATACTTATATTCTACCTTAGGCTTATTGTGCAGACCAGATAAAACAGTACATTTAAAGCATAGAAAAATATTCAGTAGACTTTTTGTGTATTTGGTTGGTTTTGTACTGCTCAGGAATGGAACTAGGACCTCATGCATGAAGGCAAGCACACTACCAATCAGCTAATCTGTAGCCCATCAATAAGTCTTGATTTTATAACTTCTTGACTGATAGTTTTGATAAATTGCTATCATTTGGCAACATTGTCTTAATTTTCATCAGTGTTGTGATAATTACTTTTTTTATTTTTAAAATATGAACTTATGTGTTATACATTTAAAAAATCAACTTAATATCTACTTAATACTAGTGAACAAGTATACTTGAAATATGATGTCCTACAACTTCTTTTAGCTTATAAAGGATAAGAGATACATGTGGATATAGTTTTCTTTTTCTTTAGAAAAAGATCAGTTTCTCAAAACTGTCTGGTCCTTTTAAGGAAATAACATACTAACCTTGGTTGTGAATGATAGCATGAGGTTTTTAAGTAAGAGTCGGTTTAGGATTGCTACATTAGAGACTTTACTAGGCATAACTAGAGGATGTTAGTATTATTTGATGTGAATTTTTAAATCTGCTTTTTTCCCAGCAGATTCAAAAATTCTCTTCCTTTATAATAGAATTCCATCAGATTTTTTAAATTGTCATGAGCTATCAATGTACAGAAATCTATTAAAATGTGTACCTTACTTAGAGATGTGTGAAAACAGCAAACCCAGGGTTCTTGGGTATCTTATTTTGAGACCCTTGAGGTCAGAACTATTTGCTTAGAACATTATTTTTCTTTTTCATTGTGTTGATATTTGCACTGACAATGGTACAAAAACAATTATGGATTTAAAAAACTGCTGATGCTTTAGTATGCATCAATCAGGGTAGCAACACCAGATTGTACTGGTAGTTACTATATTCTTTTCTATTATAAACTTAAAATTAAAAGAAAAATACCAGGTTTACTTGAAGAATATCCCTAGTAGGGTAGGAAAAAATATATTTTAAAACCTCAAAACCTTTTGAGGATGCATTGTAAAAATATTCTGTGGGATAAAATTGGAAGGGTGCATAATCTTTGCATTGTGAAAACTGACAGTTGTGAAGAAAATTACTTGTGCTGTTTTTGAATTGTGAACTGATGGAAGTACTTTTTTCCCCATAGAATATCATTTTTTATTTGAGAGAATTGACAAATTGGTTTTTGGCTTAGCAGACATTTTTTCACAAATAAATAAATTCAGTTTATCATTTAGGAAGAAAACCTTGGTAGTATTTGTTGCTGGTGTTAAACTGAAGTTTTCAGGAGAAAACTAGAATTTTGGAAAACTTGCATCACCTTAAGCTTGACATCTTTTCAATACTTAAGGTTGTTTTAGAAATAGAGTAGTGTTAATATCAACAAGTGTGAGATTTTGAGATAGTACAATGAGACAAACATGTCAGTAATTAGAAGATGTATAACTCAATTTTCTAAAGAACTAATGCATGATAATATATTGTCTTTTATGCATAAAAGATTCTAAACGTAAGAGACAATGGATTTTATTCTAACAGTTGAAAATGTTCATGGATATTGTTTGAGATTTCATATGGCAACTAACTTTTAAAAAACTAGCACCTATCAAGTTTTGGTATAGTATCAAAGAATATCCATAATTACCTGAAAGGGCTATCAAATAATGTCCTGTTTTCCAACTGTGCATGTATGTGAAACTAAGGGAATTTTTTCATCTATGCAATCAAAATAACACATTATAAAAGATTGAATATAGAAGCAGATAGGAGAATTCAGTTATTTTCTACATGTGAGAAATTTGTAAACTTTTAAAACATTATCGCTCTTACTAAATTCTTTTTTGTTTTGGAAATACAGTTGTTTTTCATTTAAAATGCTAATTGTGTTAGCATGAAATAAGGTTTATAATTTTATATTTAAATGGATTAGTTTGTAAATCTTTGAAAGTTTCAGTTTTGATTTTTTAAAATAATTTAAACATCAATAGAAATAATGTAAATGAAATATTGTTGGGATCCTCAGTAATTTTTAATAATGTAAAGGGGTTTTGAGAATCTGGTTAGAGGAACCAACATATAATTTAGAAGAAGAATGCAACTTTATAATGCAAAATGCACATGTTTTGTCGTTAATCCATAATTTGATATATTTGTTCAAATAAGAATCTTAGGTAATATGGTGGTCATAAGGTTAGTGAAATGTACTTGTATTTTTTTTCTATAAACAGATAATCTCAGTGATACCTTAAAGAAATTGAAGATAACAGCTGTTGACAGGACTGAAGATAGTTTGGAAGGATGCTTGGATTGTCTGCTTCAAGCCCTGGCTCAAAACAGTAAGTTTCATTATGCTTACTCAAATTTCAAACAACAACAAAAATCACATCAGCAGTGGTTCAAAAATTGGTATGTAGTTAAGCACATAACTTGTTTTCACATAATTTGAATTCTTTTGAATTCTATCCCTGAATACTGAGATTGTTTTAAATATTTCCTCCTCCTACCTACCCCCCACCCCCAGTCTGCTCAAAGCCAAACTGATAGGCAGAGAAAGGAGGAATTGATTTGGTAGTAATGACATTTATGCCAGTCTCAGAGTGAGGCTATTATTTTATTCCCAACAGATAAGCTTCATAGTTGTTGTTTTTTTTTTTTTTTAACACCTACATTTTCGCTTTTAAAAAAAGACTTTGTTATAAGTAGGGAGAGAAAGGAGAATCAGAAAGGAGAGCTTGAAACACTTAACAGTTTTTTCCTGAGATCTTATGGTCTACCTTTTAGAATAATTTTATTTTAAAATAACATGTATGCAGCCAGGCATGGTGGCCCTTGTCTGTAATCTCAGTGGTTCAAGAGAATCATAATTTCAAGGCCAGCCTGAGCACTTAGCAAGGCCCTAAGCCACTTAGTGAGACCCCGTCTCAAAATAAAAATTAAAAAGGGCTGGGAATGTGGCTCAGTGTTTGAGCATGCTTGGGTTCAATCCCTGGTACCTAACAATAACAACAACAATATGTATGCATAGATTTAATTGGAAAGAACCACCAGCAGTCAACCAAAAATCCCTTGAGCCAGATGTGGTGGCACATGTCTATAATCCTAGTGATGATCTGGAAGGCAACCCTCAGCAACTCAGTGACGCCCTAAGCAATTTAAAAAGACCATGTCTCAAAATAAAAAAACTTTAAAGAAAGACAGAGATTGGGAATGTAGCTCAGAGGTAAAGTATTCCTGGTTTCAATACTCAGTACAAAATAAGCAGACCGACCAACCAACCAACCTTTAAAACTTTTAAAGTAAGKCTTGGTGTTTGGTGTTGGGGTTAATAATACTAGAGATAGAAATCACATAATTCTTCATTGACTAACACATTGAATTATTACTTTTGACTTATATTTTTGTTCACTAATTTTTGTCTCACAGTGAATAGGACAGGTATAAAATGAAACATTTGTTCCCTTAATTCTGCTTAGTTGTACTGGTATTTAATTATGCCATTCTGTTATTCTGGCACTAACTATGTAGCTGAAAAAGAATCCAGGGGAGAGTATATATTGTTAGGTTTCAATTTCAGGGACTCAGACATGTGTGTTATTTCTTTTTTTTTTCTTTTTTAGTAAACTATGACTAGAAAATCTAAAATGATTGATTATAGTACTCTTCATAAAGAAACATACTTTAAAACTAGCTTTAAAAACTGCTTTTTAGTAATTCTCTTTGCTTTKGAGATTGTAACTGTCAAGCTATTTAATCTTAGTAAAGAGTTTGAAACAGTTCAATATAGCATGTAGATCGCTTCTCGGCCTTTTGGCTAAGATCAAGTGCAATAACAGCATGTAGATAAGGTTGGAGAAAGTTAAGAAAAAAGGAAAGGAGTGTCTTAACGCTGGTTGTCCATTATAGTAAAAATGTGACTATTTATGTCTAATAAAATTAAAAATGAGGTTCCTTTGCCATGTGTAGTAGTGCATACTTTTAATCCCAGCTACTCAGGAGGCTGAGGCAGGAGGATTGCAAACTTAAGGCCAGCTTGGACAACTTAGCAAGACCCTGTCTCAAAATAAAGAATAAAAAGGGCTAAGGAAATAGCTCAGGGTTGAAGCACCCCTGTATTCAATATAATACCACAAAAACAAACAAATATTATTTTTCATAGAAAGTTCCTTTGAATAGCCCTGATGTAGATACAATATATCACATAACAAGTTTTACAYGTGCCTATGTAGGCAACTTTACATAATAACAACGAGCCTAAGAAAATTAAGTAATTCAAATTTTTTCTTTTGAAGAGGATTTTTTTAATAACTTCATGTTTTCAGTGCCTATTTTTTTCTGTATGTTAGGGAAAAAGAAGATTATAAATGGATCATTTGTTTTAGAAGCTGAAGGAAATTAAGTGATCTTGGTCACATGTGGAAGGTTGCTGTTTCTCCTTTGAGGAGATCAGAAGGCAGAGAGATGAAAAGGAAAATGAAGGAAAAAAAGGAAGGAAAAGTTTATAGCTTTTTAAAGAACAGATTCAAGAACAATTGAGAAGTGCGTAACTGTTTGATTGAATTTCAGGCTTACCGTAGGCTTATGCATTGAACCTCCATTTTTGAAAATGGTCCTAAAACTGTTTATCACAAATATTAAGGCCATTTAACCATAAGGTGTTAATAAAAACAAAACTACTGGTTCAACTAATGACTTCCCAGGGAGACAGCAAAAGAAACATCTTCTTAATAGGAAACAAAATTTATAAATGTTCTTATGTCTGAGACTACTGATGCAGAAGAATGAGATAGAGGAGGAAGTTTGTGCAGATTTTCAGTCTTTGACAAGAGTTGAATCTGTCACTAAAGCACCTACTGTGTGTTGGCCCTGGGATAGGGTCTCTGTTATCTAATCTTTCCTGTAGTCTCAAGAGGTAGGTGCTATTGTCATAGTTCAAGAAGAAACAGATTTAAAGTTATTTGGCTTGCTGTGGCAGAATCCATAGTTTGAATTTAAACTCTTAGTTAACAAAAATTATACTGAGTGAAGTGAGGCTTTTTTTCTGAATTTATAGAATAAGAAGTTGCTCTAAGGAGCTCAGTGTTATTATGTCTTAAATTTTGCTTATTCTTTAACATGGTTTCAGAGTTTTGTTATTAAAGAAGAGTATGAGGGCTGAGGTTGTAGCTCAGTGGTAGAGCGCTTGCCTCACATGCGTGAGGCCCTGTGGTTTGATAAATAAATGAAAATAAAGATATGTGCCTCTACAACTAAAAAAAAAAATTTAAAATAGAAAATGATAAGCCTTTTCTTCCCTTGACATATAGACTGATATATTTATTTGATATATTTTATAAAATTAGCATCTGGCTTTTAAACCATAAAAGGTAAGGCTTTACTAGTAAGGTATTTCTTTCTCTGCAGTTGTTCTTTAGAAAAATGATTGGTCCATTGCCACTCAATCTTCTTAAATGTAAAATTATAAAACATTTAGATTTAATTTAGATGAAGCTATATTGCCTTTTTACAGCTATCTAGTTTCATATTTCTTCCTAGTGCCAGGTGTTTTGACTAAAAATATCACTGTTTGCATCAGAATTGCACCTGATCAAAAATTTCTCCATTTTATACAAATATAAAATGGTAATGTATGTGTAATATAAATCTAAACTTCAAATTTTATTTTATTTAATAATCTAACTTGTCATTGGATAGGATATTTCTGAAAGAAAAACAATTTTCAAATATSTACATGTGAATTTAATGTGTTTGAATTGTGTATTACAAATGAACATAGTCTGAAATTATAAATTTCACTTTGATATATGATTTCACAGTGATTTTCTTCTCTCCTTCCTCCTTACTTTCCCTCCTTCTCATTAAATATAATATCTATATCATAAAGACACAAAAGTTAGAAGATTTGAATACTTACTAGATTTTGTGGACAATATTTATTTAAGCAAGCATTTTGTATAAATTTCTGATCTAAATTAATATGAGGCATACATTCACTCATATAAATACTTCACATCTCACTTTGAAAATGTTTTTAGTAAATATATGAGGGCCACCAGCCAAGAAATCAGCCTGTTTATTCTAGTCTCTCTTGATTCAGATTATAGTTAGAAGATTCCCAGTAAATGCTTGTTAAATCGTAGCATGGTTACACTATCTCATGCTTAGAAAATTTAAACAATAGGCCACCTATTGTCTTCCCTAAGCATTTAGAAAGGAGATAGCCTTAGAAGTAGGAATCTTAGTCACCCTGTGAGCGAAATGAGTAGCTTACATTAAAGTCCCAAAGGCAAGAAAAGTTAATGCTCTATTCATAAGGAAAATCCTGTTAATTTTACTCCATTTTAAAGGATGAAGACCAAATTCCCTTTGCTGGGGGAACTATAAAGCAGTGACATCATGATCATGGACAGCTTTAAATTCTTCCTGAAGAATAGATTGTCTTCCTTAGTCATATTTTCCTGTGTATGTTAACTTCTTAACTTTTTTAGGTCTCATCTGATGACAATTCCTAGTTCATTCAAGAATCACATAATTGTTTATTTTTTGTAGAACAACTTTGTGATACAGCGTTACTTCTCTTTATAATTTTACTTCTCTTTAAAGAAAAAAGAGCTTAATTTCTAGATCACATTCCTCACCTTATAGTATTCACGTAGCTGTAGAATTCTTAATTTACTTTCTAGCCCTTAAGTTGTTTCCTAGTCCTTAGTTTTTATTTTATTTGTTGTATTGACTTTTGCTCCCACCTAGGTTGCAGTCCTAAGCATCATAATTGTGTACACGGGCTGCTCCTGTGGACTACTCCATGTATCTTTTCTAACTATCATCATTTTCTTATAGTCTGCTTTATGCCTTTAATATCTTTGAAAGATTTATCTCCAGGTAGCTGTTATTTCTTCCTAAGTAAGGAACTTTGAAATTTGTGAACTGTTTTTCAATAGCCATGCTAAATTTGCAGTTACTGAATGTGGAATATTGCTGCTGTTTGGAGAAATGAAAGATTATATTTCACTTTGTTTTTTCATAGCAATATATGGAATGGATTTTTCTTTCCTAAAGTTATCAAATGCATCACAAGAAGTGCTGTATTTCCTTTGCAGGCCAAATTCATTATGTTGTTTACCTGCTTTACATTTTTTTGGTATTGTATGCCTCTTTTAGTCTTTGTGTTCATTGTTCATGAAGGCTGATCACTAGTGCTGGTGATACATTACCAAGGATTCAGTTTTTACCAAATAAAGATAATGTTTTAAGAATATATAAAACTCTCAACTGAAGCCATTAACCAAAATACATTGACAGTTCTTGATAAATTGAGACTCCTGGTTTGCCAGGTAAT